GTCATGGTTATTTTCTTTCTGATTTGTTTATCTTTTATTTTTTTTTTTTTCGGATTATTGAATGGCAAACAACACGTCTTTTACAAATTGCAGCTAGCAAAAATGCGGTTTAGTTTTGCAAAAAAGCCTGTGATTTCACTTTTTGCTATTTTTTCGAATATATTGGGCAGTGGACTTAGTACTTCTAAAATTTACTCACTACTCCATTTATGCGTATTTCTTGCTTCCCTTCGGTTCCGTTTGAGCTTGTCTGCTATTATATGTTTTAAAACTTTTCGTCTCAATCAGAATAGCTTGAATTTTTTGAAGCTCTTTAGTCGTCTGGGACCTATTGCTGTTTAATATCAGTTGATCTCGACTGACGCTTCAGGTAGGTGGAGGTCAGATTTGCTTGTGCCCTGTATACTTGTATTTGAAGCATTGTAGCATATTTGGTCCGCCTGGGTGAAAATATGCAAAAAACTTACGACTTGATCGGTTTTCTGAATACATTGCTTTTATACAAAGTCTAAAGAACCAGATTCAATACTGTCGATGTTTAATTCAGCTGGTGTCTCTGCTCTTTTTCTCGTTATTCAGAAATTCACACTCATTTTACAGGGAACGTTATAAAGGCTCGTTGCTTCCGTTTGGAATCAGTAGCATTGCGAGTAGCTGCGCACTGAATTCTGCTTATTCATCGTTTTTGGACCACATCAGCGCTGTTTCGAAAACTGTACCAAACACGGTTGCTGTGGCGAGTCGACGTTGCATGTGTGCCTTCACTAATCTGCTTGGGTATGTTCACAGAAATTTTTCTTTAGGACTGCCCCATTCGGAAGTAACATTTTAACGGTGAATTTCACCCGCTAGCAAATATGATGATATGCTTTGCTTCAATTCTTTGCAGTGAACATCGATTCTGTGCACTTTTTGTGTTAATGTAAATACATATTGTTGGTTTTTGTCTTTTTTCAACTTCGCTACTGGATATATAGGAAGACAGAAGTTCTTCAATCTTAATTTTTGGCCCCGAAGTCCATCTGAAATCAAATGTGAGCTTCTGAGTTTACTCGGCATCGTTTTATGACTTCATGTAAGCGTAGTCACACTGTACGAAAAACGCATGCTTGCCTCTGATGCGCACCAATATTCATTATATCTATTGAAAAGTGGTTCCACACCCTGTCTCTGTCGCACGAAATTTTGCACTGATCGAGTGGAATTGGTCAAAATTCACTCCTTATTTACTTTTCATAAGAGTCTGAAGCTCTCAGAAGAGTAAAAAAATGCCATTCACAAATACTGCACTGTCAGTGCTGTCAAGGGTTTGCTTACAAGCAAGTTTATGGGGACTTCAACTTCCTGGTATGCTCCAGTACCAAGTGGCCGTCGAAACAAGGGGATGAATTGTGGAGAGATTAGTTTTCTTACTGGCCAAAAAGAACTCTCAATTTAAGCTGTAGATAAAATATGGGACACTTTTTCTGGGTATCTTCACGTGCTATTGCACGATGAATATGGTACTACCGCAGTAATGGCAGGAAGAAGAAGGACATGCAAAGTGGCCGGAGGGAGGGGGAGGGGAGAGAGTTTAAAGGAAAGGATCACTGCTTGCCTCTGCGCTATGTCTTCTAGCGTGGCGAAAATGCTTGACTAAATTAGCATGCGTTTCAAGTAAAAATTTGAAGAATTGAAAATTAAAATAAACTATTGACTGGCCCATTTTCAGACTTAGAAAGGAAGTTTTGAAGCAGTTCGATACCTCAACTACGAAGACAGTTGGTTTTTATAAGCGTTTTCCTGGAGAATCGTCTGGTTCCGAGTGAGTTG